TTGAAACTAATTAGATAAATATTATTAAAAATTGTAGCTCAAAATGAAAAAATTAAAAAGGATAAATTTGTTAATAAAATTAAAAAAATTCAATCTGTTAATCGGTTGGACCTTAATTACTATCTTTTTATCCTAAACTGTTAAATGAAAATTTTTACCAAACATATTATTTGTAATGCTTTTAAATATATAGGTTTACAAAACAACTACTCTTAGCGGTTTACAGAAAACTACTAACCACTATCCCAAAACCGTTATACCAAATGAGCTCTTAATTACTTTCAAACATGTTTTTATTATTCAGTTAATGTTAAATAATAAGTGCTAACAATTATAACCAAGAAATTAGATTGATTATAATCTACTATCTACTATCAATTACCTGTTATCCACTACCAGCACCCATTACCCATTACCGCTACCAATTATCTTGAATTTTAAAAGTTTTACCAAACAGACTCTTAATTTGAATCAACTCAAATAAGTTATACTTAAGGGTTAAATTTATTAATAAATAAATATTATCTTATAAGTCATATTTAGTATTAAAGTTTTGGTGTTAGTATTAGTATTTAAGAAAATTCATTCTTTAAATGTACTAAACCTAGAGGTGTGTTCTTAAAATCATCCGAAAAATTAGTCTTAAAATATGTAAAAATTGACTCAAAAACTTGCTTATTGTCCAAGAAAAAGGCATATTACAACTGCTCCACAAGTTTACTGGGTATAATAAAAGACTAGTGGTCCTGCCTTGCTACACAGGATTTCGTTTTAATTTTATATTTACTGATTTGTTTATCTTTAATTTTGTAGAGGATTGAATAACTTCTATTAAATTATGCCCTATTTCTTGAAAGAAAGAGGGGTTTCACATTTTTGCTTTTGGTAAAAGTGAAAGGTTCTATTGTTTGGTATAAGTTCTATTGATTTATTAATTTCAAATTTAGAAAGATAATGCAATGAAATTAATAGTGAATTTAAATTAAAATTTTAATAAAATAAAATTTAAATTTCTAGTAAATAATTTACTGTAAAAGAGTTTTATATATAAGAGTCAAATTATATTTAATTAAGATTTTTTAATTTTGTTTATCTTGTAGATAGAGTGATAATTTTAATAGAAAATAATTTAAGAACAACCTTTTTGTACTACCTTTTTTTACAATTTTATGTGTCATTTAAACGATTCAATCTTTATATTCATTTTGAACCCATAATATTAAATGTATCCACTCATTTAATGACATGTGGATGTCATGTAAAATGTTTGTACAAAAAAATTATCCCTATATCATCACCCGATTTTAATTTAAGTTTATTTAGTTTTCAATTATTGGTTAACAATGAAAGGTAAATAAATGGTTTCCATTTTGATTTAATATATATATATATATATATATTGAAATTATCAAATAAGATCATAATTTGAATTAAATTTTAAAAGAAAAGATTGAAAGCAGCTAATAAATAGAGGGGTTATTTAGACACTAATAAAATTTTAATTATTTTTTAATTTTTGGGTCTTAATGCATTTTACCCTTTAATGACAACAAAATTTAGTAAGGTATAAGTCCTATTAATCTATTAATTTGAAATTTAGAAACATAATACAATGAGATTGATTGCAAATTTAAATTAAAAATTTAATAATGTGAAGTTTGAATTTTAAATAAATGACCTAATCTAAAAGAATTCTTATTATATAAGTTTCAAATTAGATTTAACTAATATTTTTTCAATTTTGTTTATCGTGTAGATAAAGCAATAATATTAACGTAAATTTATCTAATTTTCAAGTTTTTGCTATTAGCAATGGAAAGTAAATGGATAATCACCATTGTAATTTAAAGAAAAAAATATTGAAATCTCTAAATAAGATTACAATTTAAAATTAAAATTAAAAAAAATTAAAATATGCTAATAAATAAAAGAGTTATCTAGACACTAATAAAATTTTGGTTCTTTTTTAATTCATGAACCTTAATGCATCTGGAGCTTAAGAAAGCATGGAAATTGAAGTCTCTAATCTTGATGTCAAAGACAAATCAAGTATGAGGTAGAGAGTTCAGGTAAAGTGATATAAATGGTCATTTTCATATTGTATTTGAGTTCAAGTGGTTTTTTTGGGTTTTTTTTTTTTTTATTATTATGTGGGTACTTGATAAACTAGTTAAGGTTTAGTTACTAATTCCCTTTAAAATTGAAATAGTTTATGGATTGAAATGAAATTAATTATTTTTTACCATGGTTTTGAAAATCAAACCGGACCAATCAATTGAACCAATCGAACTACCACCCAATAATGAAAACAGACCAGATGAATATCCAGGATCGTTTGGAGACGATCCAACTGCCCAAACCCAGCAGATCCACTCAACCAATCCAACCTGAAAGACCCGATAAACCTGCCGGGCCAAAACTCAAATTTGCCACTTTCATTTTTTTCCACCATTTTTTTATTAATTACCTATTTTATACCTTTTTCTTTTTTCGTTTGATACCCCTTTTGCCCTCTTCTACACATTACAATTCCATGGTAAAAAGAACAAAATTTGAATACAAATTGGTAAAATTAGGAAATAGGAACCCTAAGCCTTCTTCTTCTTCGATGCAACTCGTCACTCTTCCTTTCCACTCTCTAGTCTCCAGTTCTCCTTCTTCTTCTTCGATTCAATTCATCACTCTTCCTCTTTAGTATTCAACTCGTCACTCTTCCTCTCTAGTCTCCAATCTCTAATCCATTGCTTGTCCAGAGTCCAAACAAATTGGCAAAGAAGAAACCCAAAAAAACGCTTCTCTAGCTCTTCCATCCAAATTTGGAATCATACTTCTTTTGTTCTTCATCAGATTTTCATCATGTCACAAAGGTCATTCTCTCTCTCTCGATCCTCTTTGACATGACAATCCCTCTTCTCCAGTTCTCTTTAGGTACTACAAAAATCACTTCAGCTTGCTTTGCATTTCGTTACTTTAGTAGATTTCTTATCTTTTTACTACTTATTTTGGAAAGCAACAACTTCTTCGGATTTGCTCTGCATTTTGAATTTATTTACAAAGTATATTTATTGATGTCAAATTGAGTTTGAATTCTTATTGTTGTAACTTATTCTGTTTTTCTATTTTGCATGTTCTATTTCTTTGTTGACTTTACAGAGTATATTTTGATTGCCTTTTCTATTTTGCCTTTTTTGTTTACCTTTTTTTGTTTCTTTGTTAATTTTACAGTTTATATTTCGATTGCCTTTTTTGCTTTGCCTTTTCTATTTCTTTGTTGATTTCCTCCTCTTTTTTGTGCAACCTTCGAATCCTATTACTTGTATATATACGATTCTCAAAAGCAATAAAGATATATAAAATTCCACCAAATTTTACAGCTTCAAAGCTGATGTTAATCGACCTTAAATTTGCCATTGACTGTTTCTAATTCTACCTTGCCCTTTGGAGGTCTGAAATTGAAACTGAATTAAGTTTATTTTAACCACTAGTTTTGGTTTTGTTATTTATTGAGTTTTTGGACTTTTTTTTATCTATTTATTGAGTTTTTGAACTTGTAGTTGCTACAAATTGCAAGGAAAAAAAAAAGAAGAAAAAACAACAGCAAAATGATGCCAAAAACACAGGATTGCACTTTGTGGCATTTTTCGTTTGACCTGGCCAGTCAACCGATTGAATCGGTCCAACGGCCCAAACTGGGAATGGGTGAGCAAACTGATTCTATGACCGGTTTGGGTTTCAAAACCATTTTTTTACCAGCCATTTCAAACAAAACTAACGATAGATGCAAACCAAGTTAGCTAGAGTAACGGATACAGACGGTATTAACTGCTCTCAATTGAAGAAGACTCGCACCTACAGCATTAACTGCTCGTTAGGTAGAATGCAATTTCATGAAAACTAAAAACTTAGTTCTTATATTTTAAAAAAAATTGTTTAATTTATGTTTTAAAAACATAAATTAAAGGTATA